TATTGAATTAGTAGGGTTTTTTTAAAATTTTACCATAATAATATGATTATTTTGAGAAATTTAAAAAATGCCACATGTCCCATGCCACTTTACAAAAATACAATGATTTAGAAAAGTTTGCAAGCGTGCCATCACTTTTATATCATATTCCTGAAATACCCTTTGACTTAATTTACCCTAATAAAATTGTGCGATCTCACCGTCGTAGATCTTGTCGTCGCTGATATTGGAGGAATTCGACCATCTCGGTATCAGAATCTAGCACCAAGTGAAGACGACGGAGGGGCTTAATGAGAAAGACGAGGGATGAGCTTAATGAGGAAGTGATTGACGAAGGAGAGCTTTTCATGTTCCATCTCCAAAAACCGTCAAGCAATGAGTTCAAATCAAGCCTTTTACACCGAATGAAGAAACAAGTAAGATTTTGGGTCATATCAAATCGTTCCTCTTTTGTTATTTGCTTGCAAATTCTAAGTATCTCTGTTCACTTTTGATTGCGTGCATACAAAATCGGTTAAGCAGAGTCCATGAGTCTTTGAAAGTTTAGAACTAACATATTTGATAATTTGAATTCACTAAGAAAAATCTACAAGTTTGTGTTTGAGTTTGGATAATTAGGTTGTGTTGTGATTCTACAAGATACAAAACTCTTACATAGTAATATGTTGAATAAATTAATATCATGAAACCAATCTTTATCTTAGGATCTACTCGATTTGTGTCCTTAGAAAATTGGGTTTCTCTTTGTATTGATTTAGTCTAAGTCTAAATTGTGTCCTGATGTAGTGAAAATTGTGTCTTGAAATCAATCTTTATCTTAGGTATATGCTCATTCTTCCAAGTCTAAATCACACTTTTACTTCTTATTTTACTTGTTATTGATTTGCTTGAAAGCTTTGTCTTGTAGGTGAATCTGTTTAAAAGATATGAAGCAGATGGAAACCCTACAAATATTTTAGATGGGATCCAGAAGGCTCTACACTGCAAATATGTTGCTATTGATATGGGGATTTTGAAAACTCTGCAATTACGTTAGATGGAAGTACAAATGTCTCAAGGCAACTGAGAATGATTACAATGAGAATATGTCTTTTTCATTCAGGTGCTTGATTGATCTAATCTAGTTGGTGGAAACAATAAGTTAGAGATTGGTATTTGTGTTGGTGGACAGAAGATTGAGGAACTAAGAGAGTTTTTGAACAATCTAGATCTTGAGATTCGTAACATTAGAAGAGATGGAGCTGTGCTTAATAAAGGTGTAGGTGCTGATTTTTGTGCAAAAAGAAGAGGTTGCGTCTTCAGGATTCAGGTCAAGTGATGTAAAAGATGATATTGGTGGTAGTTTGTATCCATTGCGTTTTCATTATATCTTTGATAGTGTTTTCTATTGTAATCTCGTAATCATTTTCTTTCATTTGTAAGTACAAGTTGTCAGTTATAATAATCTTACTTTGATTTGTTGATCTTGAAACTAATTGGCTTTTATGATATGCAATGTTAATTATGTGTTTTAAATTATTTAGTTTGGGTTAACAATTTTACATTTAGGGTAGAGTTTACGGCTTTCATTTACATTACA